CCGGTGTATAACCCTAAATCTAAAGTAGGGAATGGAAGTGGTTCTTTTTTTGAAAGATCTAGATGTGCCATGTGTGGGAAGCAACATTTGGGTAAGTGCCTTTTTCGGCACGGATGGTTTCTTTGGCTGTGGAAAGAAGGGACATAAGATGAGAGATTTCCCAACACTCATGGCAAAAGAAAGAGATGATAAGCAAGCTTCTTTTGATGGTCCGGATCCTAATTCTCCAAAGAAAAATTATTTCCATGTGCTTCAAGCTAACAAGAACATAGGAGCTCATCCGGATGAAGGCAACGAGATGTTGTTTGTTTCTTATGGTTATGAATGTCTTGTTAAGGTTCCTATGTTGTTTTCATGTTAGCCTTAGTGGGGTTTACTCCTAAGTGGGGGATAGTATGTTGTATAGTAAGGTTGTTGAGATTTTTGATATCCTTATCTCTTTCCTTCGATTCCTATTCAAGCTTGAGACCAAGAGTTTCTTGTAGCTTGTTTCATGTTTTGGAGTCATGTGTGAATAAGTGTTTCCATGGTCTCCTTATGTTATGCATGTTCTTGATGAGTTTATGTTTGAATGAGAAAATGAGTTTATATGAATTATGTTCCTCATGTTGATCTGTATTTAGTGTGAGTTGTCCATATGCTTCATGAGGTTAATTGTTGAACATGCCTAAATGTGTTTTTAAGAGAAATTGCATAATTTGCTTAATGATGTTATGATGAGCATGAATTGAGTTTGAGAAGGTAATTCCTCCAATGAAATGAGTAATTCTGAAATTATGATGCATAATGAGTTAGTAGATGTAGTTCTTACTTTCTTGTGTTGCGTTGAGCTTATTGATTCGTTAACCCTTTAATGTGTTTAAAGTGTCATTCGAGGACTAATGTTCCCAAGTGGGGGATAATGTAACGACACATAAAATGAATAGGTGAAACTAGATCCTAACTAGTGTGTGTTTGAGTTATAATGGGGTTTCATGTTGTATAATGTTGTTCCGAGCTTAGGTTAAGGGGTTTAGGGGATAAACGTCAAGGTACGACTCCCCAAGGACAACCCTAGGGGTCCTTGAGGAGGACCCTAAAGCCTAACCCCTAAGACCCCAAGAAACCAAAAAGCTGTTAAATTTGGGATGACCTATGGAATGGGACCTACACCCCATAGGTCCATCCACACCCGGTAGATGGCCTCCGTAGGTCAAGGCCCCAATTGACAAGCCACATCCCCAAACAACAGACCAGCTGGATGGGGTGTCACCCCACCTACGGTCCGTAGGTCATGGGGCGTCTATGGCACCTGTGTTACTGTCAAGTTTTGGCCAATGTGGGGGCAACATAGTAAATTCATTTTAAGTCTAGTTAAGTTGGGGGACGGTTATTATGGAGTTCTTAATGTATTTTAAGGGTTTTTAAAGTATTAAACTCTATATTATAATTCATTATTCCTAACTATCAAGATAGAAACCCATCTCTCCAAAAGTTCTCTCTCTAAAAACTCCATTGAAGAGCAAGTTCAAGGTCAAGTCTAGTGGTCAAGGAGCAAATTTCTTCTTCAATTTCGTGTGGATTTATTCCCTAAAGGTATGGTGGTTTTCATCCATGACTTAGTTTCTTTCAAGGATCCAATTTCAAAAGTGATTCCAAATCTCCAAAGTTTCCCTAAAACCCTTGGTTTTCAATCTTTGCATGGGTTCAATTCCAAACGTTTTCAAAAGGCATTTAAGTGATGAATCATGGTTTAATTGATGTTTTAATGGTGAATTAAGATGATTTATTATATGAACCCATGTTTTCTCCCAAATTCTTAAGTTGTGAATTGTGATTAGGAATTGATTGATCATGAAAGTATGTTGATTTTTTTATGTTTATATTGAATTAGTTATTAAATCATGTCAATTTCCTTATATATTATAGTATCTTAGATTTATGGGTTGATGTTGGTTCATAGCCCTAAGGGGTAATTTCGTGAAGGATTATGTATGATTATGATGTGAAGTATATGTGTGTGATCTCAGAGAAAGTGTTATAATCATGTTTACAATGGAATTGTGTTAGTATTGAAAGCTTATTCTCAATTTAAAACTTATGAATGATGAGGTTATATGTGAAAGGTTATTCTCACATACACACACTCATGAATGACTAATGAATAAAGTTTCTATGATTATGTTAATGATGATGGGTTGATTGAAAGGCTATTCTCAATTATACTCTAATGAATGATAATGACATGTTGTGAAAGGACTTTCTCACAATATGGGATTCTTAGTTAAAAGGCTATTCTCATCTTTGAATCTATGAGCTTTCCAATGAAAGAATGTTGGGTTTGAGATGCATGCTCATCCAGAAGTTGAGGCAGGGTATCCAGTAACAATCTTTTATCCCATAATAATGAAGTAAAGTAATGAATGTTAAGTACTCCGTAGGGAATAAAGCTAAGCACCGAGTGGTTATGGCTTGAGATGTGTGCTCATCCGTGAGTTGAGGCATGGTATCAAGTAGCAATCTGTTGAGATGGATGCTCATCCGTGAGTTGAGGTGGGGTATCTGGTAAAAATCTCCATATCCCATAACTATGAGCCCACATAGGTCTAGCTAATGGATCCACCTAAGCTAAAATGTAATGGTCCTACCTTAGGAAAGTAGGAATCCTTTATTCGATGAGGGTGACACCAGGATTCCATGAATTGCTCACATGGTCTATGTCGGTTAAGGCTTACCCCTACAAACAATGTTAATGAACTATGGCTTCTCAAGAATGCACTACTTAGTGTGGGTGGTATTATGGGATGTTATCCATGCATTGCACAAGTAGGTTTTGAGAGGGGTTATAGTGTGTTCCTTTATGTTGTAATGTTAAATTAAATGACTATGCTCTTATGATGATGCTAATGGAGAATGTTGGTTTAATGTCTAATGAATGAAGGTGTTTTAATGAAACAGATGGGGAATGTTGACTTATGTATTTAATGTAATGACACATGCTATACTTTGATTTTATTATGAGTTACTTCCTTGTCTTGACTTATTGAGTATGAATGTGCCTTGTCTATGGTGTCTTCAAAAGAATACTTAGCGTGAGTAGTAGTATTGGATGCTATTCATACATTGCACAAGTATGACTTAGAGTTTCCCTAGATGATGGTCCTTCTATGTTAATATGATTATGTAATGTTTATGTCTCTTAGGTATGAGTATTGTGTAAAGATGGAAATAATGAATGGTAAGTTAACTTTTGGTGGCCTTGAGGTTGTACTTCGTGTGGATGGTGGTATGGGACGCTATCCATACATGCACAAAGTATAGCTTGAGGGTTACCTGAGGTGAAGGTGTAATGTGATGAAATGGGTTATATGTTGATTATGTCTCTAATGTAATGAAATGATTTTTATGTTGGTTATGGTTGTATATTATGCCTCTTATACTTATGTTCAAGAAGTTTTATCAAATAGGCATTAAAGCATGACTTTCAAATAAAATGTCCGTTTGGAGCATGTTTTTGCATAGCTATCATACTTATTACTTAATTGTGCTAACCCATATTTTCTTTACCTTTATGAAGTGTAGGGATTGGTACTCAATTTGATTCTCTCTAGTTGAAGCTTGGATTTCAGATTCTTCCAATGTAAACTGGTATATCCTCATAGATCGAGGATAAGTATTTTGAAGTTTCTTTTCTTTCATGTAATAGACATTTGTTAGTCCTTCGATTGTAAAAGGCTGTGTCCCTACTTTACTATTCAAGATATTGTTTTAGATGGCCGTGTGAGACAATAGACTTCCACTATTTTCAAATGTTTTAAATGAAGTTTTGATTGTATGGATTTTAAGAAAAGTTTTAAATTCCGTACCTTTTTTCTTTATATTGAATGTTATGAATGCTATGAGGATTGTATGAGACTTTTTAGAGTCTTGAACGCCGTGTCGCTTCCGGGTATAGGCTCAGTCGTGACAAAAATGGTATCGGAGCACAAGATTTTTGAATGGTTTTTAGGATTGATGTCTCACAAGCCACGTCTAGTAGGGTCTTGTTCATCGGTGTGAGTCACGACACATCTATGAGTGAGAGGCTATAGGACGTTAGGAAGTTACACTTCTTTCATTATTCTTGAACTTGTGCCTTAGAGTTTAGCTCTTTAAGTGTCCTTTTCCTAATCTTTCTCTTGTGTTTATAGGTTATGAATACAAGAAGTTCGCCCGCAAGGAGAGTGAAAGAGGAGAATGTGAATGAGGGAGTTCCTCCCCAAGGACCTTGATAACGATCAAGGAAAGAAAGGAATAAAGAAAGAAAGGATATGTGGATTAATACTGAAGTTATTGAAATTATGGGCAACAAGGGACTAAAACTCTCACCTCCCAATTGACTTCAACAACCTAAATTCAACCCAAGGAAGAATAATCAAATGAAACCAAGAATCACAAAGTGGTAACACTTTGATTAATCAAACACAAGAAGTTAACAAGCAATCCTAAGAGTTCACCCTAATTACTCACTAATTACTCACTAAGAAGATACTATAATTTGAGAGTCAATATTCAATATAGTCTAAGTCTTCCCAAAATAAAAGAGACTACTATTTATACTAAAAAAATAAACAAGACACTTTTTGACAATTTTACCCTTAATGAGATAAGGGCCTTGTTTGGTTGCCTTCTTTTGTGAATTCTGGAATTCATGAAATGGTCATTTCCACACATGGCCTCTTTCCTTCTTCCTTCTCATTTTGATGTACCTTACACACATTGTATGTTTTTCTTTGGTGACCTTCGAGCTCCTCTAATACTTCCTTTTTCATGAACATTGCTTGTAGGCCTTGGAGATCCTTTGCTTGACTCCGTGTGAATGGTCTTGAGGGGTATATGCCACCCATGTTAGTGTCATCCATGCTGCCCATGTTATCAGTCCTCAAGGTGTCCAAGTTCCACAAGGCAATTATGTTTCGGTTGATGCCCCTGCCATGACTAATGAATAAATTAGGTTAGCTTTTCTAACCTTAGCCCAAGCTATGATAGCCCTAGTTAACAGGGATGTGGGTCCTAGAGTGAATGCTAATGAGAGTACTATGGATTCCAGGTTGAGGGATTTTGTGAGGATGAATCCTCCGGTATTTCTTGGTTCCAATGTGGGAGAAGATCCCCAAGAGTTTTTGGATGAGGTGTATAAGATAGTCAATTCTATGGGGGTGACTTCTACAGAAAAAGTGGAACTAGATCCTTTCCAATTAAAGGATGTTGCTCAAGTTGGGTTCACTCAATGTAAAAGCAGTAGGCCGGTAGGAGCGGGTCCTATAGAATGGGAGGAGTTTAAGAATGCTTTCCTCGGTAGGTACTTTCCCCGTGAGAAGAGGGAGGTTAAGGTAGAGGAATTTATCAACCTTAGGCAAGGTAGCATGAGTGTGGAGGAGTATTCCTTGAAATTTACCCTATTGTCTAAGTATGTTCCATATTTGGTGTCCAACCATAGGGATGAGACGAGTAGGTTTGTGATCGGTGTATCCGACCTAGTTAAGGTAGAGTGTCGTACGTCAATACTTCATGATGAAATGAACATTTCTAGACTCATTGTGTACACTCAATCTATTGAGGAGTCCAAACTTGAGAAAAAGAGTAGGGTGATGAAGAGGTCTAGGTCCAATGAACAAAGTCAACCAAGGTCCAAAAAGAGGTTCTCCAACCTAGATTCCTCAATGGTCAACAATGATAGGGTGTCTAACCCTAAATCTCAATGAGGGAATGGAAGTGGTTCTTATTTTGAAAGATCTAGATATGCCAAGTGTGGGAAGCAACATTTGGGTAAGTGCCTTGCCGAAACGGATGGTTGCTTTGGGTGTGGAAAGAAGGGTCATAAGATGATATATTTCCCAACACTCATGGCAAAAGGAAGGGATGATAAGCAAGCTTCTCTTGATGGTCTGGATCCTAATGGTCCAAAGAAAAATCGTTTTCATGTGCTTCAAGCTAACAAGGACAAAAGAGCTCATCCGGATGAAGGCACGGATATGTTATTGGTTTCTTACGGTTGTGAATGTCTTGTTAAGCTTCATATGTTGTTTTCATGCTAGCCTTAGTGGGGCTTACTCCTAAGTGGGGGATATAATGTTGAATAGCAAGGTTGTTGAGAGTTTTGATATCCTTATCTCTTTCCTTCTATTCCTATTCAAGCTTAAGACCAAGAGTTCCTTGTAGCGTGTTTCATGTTTTGGAGTCATGTGTGAATATGTGTTTCCATGGTCTCCTTATGTTATGCACGTTCTTGATGTGTTTATGTTTGAATGAGAAAATGAGTTTATATGAATTATGTTTCTCATGTTGATGTGTATTTAGTATGAGTTTTCCATATGTATCATGAGGTTAATTGTTTAAGATGCCTAAATGTGTTTTTTAGAGAAATTGCATAATTTGCTTAATGATCTTATTATGAGCATGAATTGAGTTGGAGAAGGTAATTCCTCCAATGAAATAAGAAATGTTTAAGTTATGATTCATAATGAGTTTGTACATGTAGTTCTTATTTTCTTGTGTTGCATTGAGCTTATTGATGTGGAGTTGATGTTTCCTCTTAAATCTGTGCATTGTTTATAATGTTGCTTGCATGATGGGCTGCTAGTCTTGAGTCGTTAACACCTTAATGTGTTTAAAGTGTCATTCTAGGAAGAATGTTCCCAAGTGGGGGATAATGTAATGAGCCGTAAAATGAATAGGTGAAACTAGAGCCTAAGTAGTGTGTGTTTGAGTTGTAATGGGGTTTCATGTTATATAATGTTGTCCCGAGCTTAGGTTGAGGGGTTTAGGGGTTAAATGTTAAGGTACCACTCCCCAAGGACCACCCTAGGGGTCATTGAGGAGGACCCTAAAGCCTAACCCCCAAGACCCCAAGAAACCAAAAAGCTGTCAAATTTGGGATGACCCTTCGGAAGGGGACCTACGCCCCGTAGATGGCCACCGTAGGTCAAGGCCTCAATTGACAAGCCGCATCCCCAAACAACAGACCAGCTGGATGGGGAGTCACCCCACCTACGGTCCGTAGGTCCTAGGGCGTCGATGGCACCTGTGTTGCTGTCAAGTTTCGGCCAATGTGGGGGCAACATGGTAAATTCATTTTAAGTCTAGTTAAGTTGGGGGACGGTTATTATGGAGTTATTAATGTATTTTAAGGGTTTTTAAAGTATTAAAATCTATTTTAGAATTCATTACTTACCAACTCTCAAGATAGAAACCCACCTCTCCAAAAGTTTAGTCTCTAGAAACTCCATTGAAGAGCAAGTTCAAGGTCAAGTCTAGGGGTCAAGGAGCAGCTTTCTTCTTCAATTTCATGTGGATTTCTTACCTAAAGGTATGGTGGTCTTCATGCTTGACTTAGTTTCTTTCAAGGGGCCAATTTCAAAAGTGATTTAAAATCTCCAAAGTTTCCCCAAAAACCCTAGTTTTCAATCCATGCATGAGTTCAATTCCAAACGTTTTAAAAAGGAATTTAAGTGATGAATCATGGTTTAATTGATGTTTTAATGGTGAATTAAGATGATTTCTTCTATAAAACCATGTTTTCCCCCAAATTCTTAAGTTGTGAATTGTGATTACGAATTGATTGATCATGAAAGTATGTTGATTTGTTTATATTTATATTGTATTAGTTCTTGAATCATGTAAATTTCCTTATCATTGTAGTATCTTAGATTTATGGGTTGATTTTGGTTCATCGCCCTAAGGAGTAATTTCATGAAGGATTATGTATAATTATGATGTGAATTATATGTGTGTGATCTCAATGAAAATGTTATGATCATGTTTAGAATGGAATTGTGTTAATATTGAAAGCTTATTCTCAATTTAATACTTATGAATGATGAGGTTATATGTGAAAGGTTATTATCACTTACACACACTCATGAATGACTAATGAATGAAGTTTCTATGATTATGTTAATGATGATAGGTTGATTGAAAGGCTATTCTCAATTGTACTCTAATGACTGATAATGATATGTTGTGAAAGGACTTTCTCACAATATGGGATTCTTAGTTGAAAGTCTATTCGCTTCTTTGAATCTATGAGCTTTCCAATGAATGAATGTTGAGTTTGAGATAGGTGCTCATCCGGAAGTTGATGTGGGGTATCTAGTAACAATTTCTCATCCCATAATAATGAACTAAATTAATGAATGTTAAGTACTATGTGGGGAATAATGCTAAGCACCGAGTGGATATGACTTGAGATGGGTGCTCATCCATGAGTTGAGGCGGGGTATCTAGTAGCAATCTCTTGAGATGGATGCTCATTCGTGAGTTGAGGCGGGGTATCTAGTAGCAATCTTTTTATCCCATAACTATGTCCCCACATAGGTCTAGCTAGTGGATCCACCTAAGCTAAAATGTAATAGTCCTACCTTAGGCAAGTAGGAATCCCTTATCCGGTGAGGGTGACACTGGGATTCCATGACTTGCTCACATGGTCTATGTCGGTTAGAGCTTACCCCCACACAAAATGTTAATGAACTATTGCTTCTCAAGAATGCACTACTTAGTGTGGTGGTAGTATGGGATGCCATCCATGTATTGCACAAGTAGCCTTTGAGAGGGGTTATGGTGTGTTCCTTTATGTTGTTATGTTAAATGAAATGAATATGCTCTTATGATGATGCTAATGGAGAATGTTGGTTTAATGTCTAATGAATGAAGGTGTTCCTAAGGAAGCTAATAGGGAATGTTGACTTATCTATTTAATGTAATGACGTATGCTATACTTGGATTGTATTATGAGTTACTTCCTTGTCATGACTTATTGAGTATGAATGTGCCTTGTCTATGGTGGCTTCAAAGGAGTACTTAGTGTGAGTAGTAGTATGGGACGCTACTCATACATTGCACAAGTATGACTTAGAGTGTCCCTAGATGATGGTCCTTATGTGTTAATATGATTTATGTAATGTTTATGTCTCTTAGGTATGAGTATTATGTAAAGATGGAAAGGATGAATGGTAAGTTAACTTTTGTTGGTCTTGAGGTGGTACTTGGTGTGGATGGTGGTATGGGACGCTATCCATACATTGCACAAAGTATAGCTTGAGGGTTACTTGAGGTGAAGGTGTAATGTGATGAAATGGGTTATATGGTGATTATGTCTCTAATGTGATGAAATGACTTTTATGTTGGTTATGATTGTATATTCTGCCTCTTATACTTATGTTCAAGAAGTTTTATCAAATAGGCATTAAAGCATGACTTTCAAATAAAATGTCCATTTTAAGCATGTTTTTGCATGGGTATCATACTTAGTACTTAATTGTGGTATCTCATATTTTCTTTACCTTTATGAAGTGTAGGGATTGGTACTGGATTTGATTCTCTCTTGTTGAAGCTTGGATTTGAGATTCTTCCAAGGCAAAGTGGTATGTCCTCATAGATCGAGAACAAGTATTTTGAAGTGTCTTTTCTTTCATGTAATAGACATTTGGTAGTCTTTCGATTGTAAAGGGTTGTGTCCCTACTTTAGTTTTCAAGATATTATTTTAGATGGTCGTGTGAGACAATAGACTTCTGCTATTTTTGAATGTTTTAAATGAAGTTTTGAATGTATGGATTTTAAGAAAAGTTTTAATTTCGTGCCATTTTTGCTTATACCGAATGTTAAGAATGCTGTGAGGCTTGTATGAGACTTTTCGGAGTCTTATATGATGTGTCGCTTCCGGGGTATAGGCTCGGGTCGTGACACATGCATAAAACATTTAAAACATGCTAAAAAGGACATTTTCATAAATAAGTGATGTTTTGCGTAATCAACGACACAACTTCTAGTACGAGTGTCTACGATCGTGCAATAGTATAGTAACCCAACAAAGGGTTGGGGTCGTGTCCCAAGGGAGCGGTTTTGAGAATTAATAGAAAAATATAATTTAGTTCTAAGTAGTTGTAGCTAAAGACATTAACAATTAAAAACATTGTAAATTAAAGGGGGACACAAAAGTGTCAAATATCAATTTGGGGGTTTTGTCACAAGTGTAGAAAAAACAACAAAAATAACAATAAAATCGAGTATGGGAAGAGTTCTTGGGGTGTGACCGCAATACAAGTTGAGATACATAGTTGGTACATGCTTTCGATAGGAAATTTGCAAGATAATAGTGACTAGGCTAAGGTTTAGATGGAAATAAAGACCCTCTCGGGCAACTTACCCCGTTTCAAAAGTGTTCCTCTCAGACACCCATTTTCCGCATGAAGGCTAGCCTACGCCTTACCCCACTCACTCTCTTGAGCTGAATGTTAGGATATGGGACTAGGGCTCACTCTCTCGGGCTGAACCTCATGTCGACCCATTCCTTAGGCCATCAATCTAGTGGTCTTGGTTTCGCGACCACCCTCTCGGGCAAGACGAAAACACATGGGTGGCTTTGTATTTGCAACTACAAACCCATTAAATTAAACCACAACCACTAGGTGAAATCACTATTAAAATACATCTAACCTATCATCAAGCAAGACCCAACAACAATATCAACACATATTTGCTAAATCACACCCCAAGAATGGGAGTTTTTAGCCACACATCAAGAGATAGAAATGTATATCTTCAATGATGTTGAAATCAAATGGGTATAGAGAAATAAGTCTTGATTTGAGCAAAGAAATAAGAATACAAGAGACCCACTTCCAAATTGGAAGAGATGAAACCATTTTCTTCTTCAAGTTTCCGAAACCCTCTCCAAACTTAGAGCAAAATAAAAGTACTAAAAATTATATGAAGAATTTGATATTGTCTAATGATACTATAAATTCTGATATTACGCTATAACTCTCAATGAGTATTTATAGTTTTCAAAAATCTGTTCCGGTGGATAGTTCGGCGATATTAGTCGGAATCGTCAATAAACTCAATGATTCACCCTTTGGTGTAGTTCATCGCCGTCGTGCACCATCTTTCGGCATCGTCGTGTTCTGGGTCATTGGGCAACATAGTACTGCTTTGCGGAACTCATCGGCGATGCGCCGACTTGATCCTTTCCTTAGGGCTCAACACACTGGAACAAAAAGTGAAGTGGGACCCTTCGGCGATTCACCAAGTGAACTC